ATTTTGGTTAGATTTAGATGTTGGGCCATGTTTGGGATGGAAATAGGATTCAATTGTGTTGTTGGAGGGCCCACGAACTTATTCGTGTGGGCCTCATGATTCAAAAGTCACAGATCTATGACTATTAGGTTTCATCGTCGCACTGTTCGATCGATCGAACAACGTTATGATCGATCGAATATTTGCGATCGATCCAACTCAACCTTCAATCGATCCAACTTTTGTGATCGATCTCATTTCTTTTTCTGATCGATTGAATTTCACAGATCTCATATACATACTCCATTCATCTTATCTTATGTTCATGCTACCTTGTATATGCCCAATGCCTGTGATATCCCCATTGGATGCATTTCATACTTACATTGTTTGGCATGTTTTATATTCTACCACTTGTATAGAATCTTGCGATATTTTGTTTTGTCTATCTTATTTGACATACATGTTTCTATATTGTGCCTTATATTCTATATATGCTAGCATTAACTCTTCAAATTCTATTTACAGACTATGGCTCGCGTCAAGACTGTAGCACGTAGACACCGTCACGGCACCAGACGCAGACTTGACGACGGGGCTGGTCCATCTCATGTCCGGGATCCTAGCCCCGAGCACACACAGAGGAGAGTCTGACAGCGGATAGAGGAGACTGCGCAGCCCTCCCATACAGAGGAGCCATTACACCCTACTCCACCCTAGTTTCCAGCTCGTCCAGCATTCACTCCATCACCATCTGCACCGCATAGAGGCGCTGAGCAGCCAGCTCAGCCGGCTTCACCTGTTCAGCCAGCTCCTTTACAGTGCGACAAACTCGCGCCTCGATATACACACATGACTATCCACCACGAGTCAGCATTCGACACTGCATTCTTCTCCAGATCGGTGCTGACTCGATCTACCTACCAGGACATCATTCAGTGGGGCTTCTCAGCTATTCTTGCCCCAGTCACAGAGCCGTTCTACCCGCAACTGGTACGGTTGTTCTACCAGAACCTCCGACCATCGCCGCGCACTACAGCCGAGCTCATCACCTCTATCGATGGCCATGAGATCACCATTACAGTGGATACTCTGTCCTGTTCGACTCGCTGTCCACATCGGTGCCCGCCCGAGCTACAGGAGACATATCCCAGGCTCCACAGGCCTTCTTACATCGATATGGCAGTTTTTCTCACAGGTCACCATGCCGGTGGGGAGACCTTCGCCACCCGGACATTCTTACCGGATGACCTGTGGTTTACAGATTCGGTGCTCTACCGAAACATATACATGGCAGGCCACAGGATTCAGAGGTGGGGCGACTATCTAACAGCCCTGTACGCCTTCTATACCGGCCACTGGGTGTCTATTCCTGCGCTTATCTGGAGTATGATGAGGAAGCTCTACGATGAGTACGTCAGCAAGGAGGCGCCCGGAAGGGCCAAGTCTCTTCTATTCAGCCACCTCATCACCCAGATTCTCATAGACCAGCGCTATCCCATCCACCCGCAGGAGGACCCAGAGAAAGGTTCCTGTCACTTCCTCAAGAAGGACTGGGACAAGAGTTACAGAGCTATTATCACTCGCTTGCAGACCCATACTGTACTGGTGGCTGCAGAGCTGGAGTTAGAGGAGAAGGCAGTAGCACAGGCAGCCCCGGCACCAGCAGAGCCAGCAGCAGCAGCTCCCGCAGCCGACGAGGCTCCAGTCGATCCAGCTGCCGAGCATGATGACATTGATATAGACATTGACTTGGAGCACTCAGTGGATGACGTAGTTCAGCATTCTCCAGCCGGGTCACCTATCCACGAGCAGGAGCAGACCCACGAGCTGTCTTCTGACTCCTCCATACCAGACTTGACCCCCGGCTTCGGAGTGCATCTGCAGACGCTCGATGACACTGTTGTTGCCATCAGAGTTGACCTCACGGCCCACAGAGCGGAGTTCGCTACCTTTCGCACGGATGTCGCGAGTATGTTCAGAGATTTATCTAGAGACATTCGTGGAGCCAGACCTGCCCATCCTATCTCATCTTCCTGAGCTCCCACTCTTTTCTATCTTATGATCCTTCTCTCCTTTTGATATTTTATTATTGTCACTGTATTATTTTTACAGCCGGTCTGTCGGCTTTGATATTTTTGTTGTACCTGCACTTTCTGTGACGGTCGATCCAAAACTTCCGGGGGTCTTGTGGGTGTATTTTAAGATTGCATTTTCAATTTAGGCAATTTAAAAACCTTCTGAAGCCCCATTTCCTTTCTTTGGGCAGTAGCTTGGAACGATTTTTGACCTTTAGACCTGATTTTCTTGAGGGTATTTTGGACATTTTACAATGCATTTTTAGGAGGGGTTTGTTCTTTGAGTTTTTCCAGAAAATTCCGTTTAGATGCTCGTTTTTACTCTCAATTGCAGCAGTAGTGGGTTGACGGCACTGTAGCTGTCACAGTCTTCGTCGGGCCGCCGCGACGTCGATTTTGTTTTTGACCTTTCTCCCTCATCCGGACTCCAAATCAAGTGAGTTTTTTTTTTTTGAAATTGATTAATTTTTCATTGTCTATCCAACGGTGTGCTCGGTTGCACCCAGATATTTTTGGATAGTTACCAGTTTACCCTTTTAGCTTTATTGCTCGTTTTTCTTTGTTTTGTCGTTTCTCCTTCGTCCGGAATCTGGATAATGAAATTCTTAAGTCCATCATCTCTAGTTTTTCATTGTCTTCCCAGTGGTGTGCTCGATAACACTTGAATCCATTTTTTTTGCAAAATGACCATTTTGCCCCTAGGTTCCTTTTTGTCCGTTTTTGAAACGACACTTCCACATTTGTTTTCCTTTGGGTTCCATGACCTCATTGAGGGTCACATTGGTGTCTTAGAGACGCATTGTATCACTAGAGACTGTTGTTTCACCTTTCGCTTCCGCATTTCGGATCCGTTATCGGGTCATCTTTTGGTCATCACTGACGCACCGGGTTTACAAAACTTGGGCCATCACAAGTGGTATCAAAGCTCCTAGGTTCAAAAACCTTAGGACGACGGGTTTTGGGATCATAACATGCTTTTGTTAGTGTACTTTGATTTATTAGCATACCTTTGATAACATGTTTTTGGCATTATAACATGATTACATGTTTCTTGGTGACATACTTGTTATTATGATATGTCTCTATGTTTGTATGCTTATATGTTTAAGAAGCATCCTTATTTAACATATTGCTTAAGTGCTTAACTGTTTAAACAGCCTTCCTTGATTGCCTTATCATGACCGTATATTACGTACCTCATCTTGCTTCGTATTTCTTACTTTCATAGTACGAGTTACATTCGGTCATAATAACTTGTGTTATTGTTGACCTCTTTTATTGCATATGTTTAGCATCATGGTTGTCACACGTGGGGAGTCTTCATGTCAGGGTGTTGAGAAGCAGGTAGATGACACCGAGTTTACGAGGGGTCCAAGGAGGCCTAGGATTCCAGTTCGTGGCACGGGTTTAAATCCACCACGAGCTTCGACTTACGAGGAGCAGATTGCACAGGGAGTGGCTCTGGGGATGTCAGAGTCCATTTAGGTGATGTTTTGCCAGCAAATGGCGGGGATACAGATTCCAGTACCGGCACCAGCACCGACACCAGTTGCTAATGAGGCATTGGACTACTTCATGAAGTTACAGAGGGTTAAGATCGACTAGTTTGCAGGGAGTATGGATCCGCTTGCTTTAGAGGCATGGTTTGATCTCATGGTATGCAAGCTCGATAGCATGGCAGTACCTATAGACTGATTGAGGATCTCCTTGATAGCCTCTATGTTCATGGGAGATGCCGATGTCTGGTGGAGGTCTATGACCAATATCCACGATATGAAGGTGATGACTTAGGAGGAGTTCAGGATATTGTTCTTTGACCGCTTCTTTCCAAGGACTATGAGGCATGATATGAGAGTGCAGTTTACAGGTCTCTATTAGGGCAGGATGAGTGTCATTAAGTATGAGACACGCTTCACTTCTTTTTCCCGCTATGTACCGGAGATGGTAGCCACCGATGAGCTCAAGGTGAAAAAGTTTCAGGATGGGTTATATCTTGATATTAGGCCACGAATTTCAGTGTTAGATCTGAGGACTTATGGGGAGGTAGTACAGAAGGCTATGCTAATTGAGGCAGATGACCGAGATCAGCTTTGGATCAAGGGTTCATATAAGCAGCCATGTGGAGAGGCTTCATCAGTATCTGTTGGGGGTCAGTGGAAGAAAGCTAAGGCCGGGGACAGTTCACGCACTCAGGGATAGTCACAGCAGGCTCGGTTTGCATCTGCAGGTCTAGTATCTTCGGGGTCAGCCCAGGGAGTCATTTGTCACCACTGTCAGCAGCCGAGGCACATCAAGCCTCGTTACCCATAGTTGTAGTCTCAGGGCAGTCGTTCTCAGACTAGTAAGTCTTCAGCTTCGACGCAGGGACTTCAGGGGGTTTGTAATTACTACAAGCAGCCTGGACATTTCAAGAGAGAGTGTCCGCGCCTACAGAACAAGGCACAGAGTGGCGCAGGCCCACAGGCCACACTGGCACAGTCGACAGTTGCATAGTCAGGTTTCAGGGTGCCTCAAGCACCATAGCCAGTTGCACCAGTCAGTTTGTATCTGGGTAAGAACCCTACATCTACTGCTTCCAGACATCAGTCAGCTCAGCAGGGCAGTTCACAGCAGTCACGGGCTCAGGGATGAGCTTACGCACTGCTACAGGCCGATACCTCCGCAGGGACTTCTACAGTTCGAGGTATCTTTCCAGTTTTCAGTTCTTGGGCTAGAGTTCTTGTTGACACAAGTGCATCACATTCATTCATATCTGCATCATTTGCACATTCTTTAGGTTTGGAGGTCACACAGCGGGATGGTTTCCTTTGTGTTGACACACCAGTTGGTGGTCCAGTGTTTTTGGACCGTGTTTGTTGGGGTTGTGCTATCGAGATAGCTGGACGGACGTTGGAGTTCAATTTTTTTGTTTTCGACATGACGGGTTTTGACGTCATTCTTGGGATGGACTGGTTGTCTTTCTTTCGTGCCACGATTGATTGCTTCTGTGGGCGAGTGTCTGTTTGCCCTCCCGTGGGGGATTATTTTCACTTCGTGGGAGATCGGAGCGATTTCCACCCGACGATGATTTTCAGTATCGGTGACTGGAGTCACCATAGGTCTTACTTAGCTAGCCTGTTAGGTGACGAGGGTAACAGTCTAGGCCGTGTTTTTTCGACAGTTGTAGATGAGTTTCTGGATGTCTTCCCGGAGGAATTGACAGAACTCCCTCCTCTTCGGGAGGTTGTCTTTGCCATCGATGTCATTCCTGGTACTGCACCTATTTCTATGGCACTGCACCGTATGGCACCGGCAGAGCTTGATGAGCTGAAAGCTCAATTGGATGATTTGAAAGCTAAGGGCTTTATTCGTCCTAGTGCTTCACCCTGGGGAGCACCGGTTCTTTTTGCGAAGAAGAAGGATGGGTCTTTGAGACTTTGCATCGATTATCGCAAGCTGAACCATGTAACAATCAAGAACAGGTATCCTTTGCCTAGGATTGATGACTTATTTGATTAGTTGAAGGGAGCGACATGCTTTTCGAAGATTGATCTGAGATCGGGTTACTATTAGTTGAGGGTTAAGGATGAGGATGTATCCAAGACCACTTTCCGCACACGGTATGGCCATTATGAGTTTCTAGTGATGCCATTTGGTTTGACTAATGCTCCAGCAGCTTTTATGGACTTAATGAACCGTGTATTTAGTGACCATCTTGATCAGTTCGTTGTAGTCTTTGTCGATGACATTCTTATATACTCAGCTTCGGTGGAGGAGCATGAGTATCATTTGAGGACAATGTTGCAGATCCTTAGGGATAATCGGTTGTACACCAAGTTCGAGAAATGTGAATTTTGGCTACCAGAAGTGAAGTTCCTTTGACATGTTGTGTCAAGGGGCGGTGTTACAGTGGATCCAATAAAGATTGAGTCAGTGATGGATTGGGAGCGTCCAAAGATAGTGTTTGAGATTTAGAGTTTTCTTAGCCTAGCCGGCTATTACCGGAGATTTGTTCGGGATTTCTCTCGTTTAGCGGCACCTATGACTCGACTTACCCGCAAGGGGGTCAAGTTCGTATGGAATGAGGCATGTGAGTTTGCTTTCAGGAGCTAAAGGTCAGGTTAACATCGGCTCCAGTTTTGATCATTCTTGAACGTGGTTTAGGTTATATGATCTTTTATGATGCTTCACGAGAAGGTTTGGGTTGTGTCTTGATGCAGACAGAGCGGGTGGTTGCTTATGGGTCTCGACAGTTGAAGACTCACGAGTTGAACTATCTAACACATGATTTGGAGTTAGCAGCAGTTATCTTTGCCCTGAAGGGGTGGAGACACTATTTGTACGGGGGGAAGTTTGAAGTTTTCTCCGACCACAAGAGTCTCAAGTATCTTTTCTCTAAAAAGGATTTGAACTTGAGACAGCGCAGATGGGTTGAGTTTATGTAGGATTATGATTTTGAATTACAGTATCACCCGGGTAAGGCCAATGTGGTGGCTGATGCATTGAGTAGGAAGTCATGGGGAACTCTTGCTAGCATTTCCCTTCATAGATGGAAGATGTTAGAAGAGCTTGCAGATCTTGGTTTACAGTGTTATGAGGATATTTCACCGGCTATTTTATTTACCCTTGTGGCTTAACTGGCACTTGTTAGCAGGATTATTGAGGCATAGTTGGAGGATGGGGAGATGAAGGCCATCCATGTTTAGATTTCAGGCGGCGAGAACGTAGAGGGTTGGACCTTACATTCAGACGGTGGTCTCAGGTACAAGGGGATGATGTTTGTTCCATTATCTTGTCCTGAGGACGTTCTTCGGGATTTTCACCACTCCAGGCTCGCAGTTCATCTTGGTGGTACAAAGATGTATCACAATCTGCGACGACAGTTTTGGTGGCAGGGCATGAAACGGGATGTTTCACAATTCGTGGCTTGATGCCTTACTTGTCAACAAGTGAAGGCAGAGCATCAGCGACCGGTAGGATTGTTACAACCATTACCAATAGCTGAGTGGAAATGGGAGCATATCACTATGGATTTCGTGATGGGACTTCCGAGGTCTCAGGCAGGGAATGATACCGTTTGGGTCATAGTTGACAGGTTGACTAAGACGGCTCACTTCTTACCGATGGCAATGATAGATAGTGCAGAGAGACTGAGTGAACTGTATGTGAGACAGATTGTCAAGCTTCATGGGGTTCCTGTATCCATTGTTTCGGATAGGGATCCGCGGTTCACCTCTCACTTTTGGCAGAGTTTTCAGGAGGCTCTTGACACGGGGCTTCATTTTAGCACGACATTCCATCCTCAGACTGATGGACAGTCGGAACGCACCATTCAGGTATTGGAGGATATGTTGCGGGCTTGTATCTTGGATTTTGGAGGTAGTTCAGAGGACTACTTGCCTTTGGTTGAGTTTACCTACAACAATAATTACCAGGCCAGTATTGGCATGGCACCTTTTGAAGCATTGTATAGCAGACCTTGTAGATCTCTAGTTTGTTGGACCGAGGTCGGTGATACTATTGCCTTGGGTCCCGACATTGTTATTGAGACTACAGAGAAGATCAAGTTGATTCGGCAGCGGTTGGCTACCACACAGAGTAGACAGAAGAGTTATGTTGACAAGAGAAGGTAATCATTTTCTTTTGAGGTAGGGGATCATGTCTTTCTTAAGATTTCTCCGCGTAAGGGGCTCTTGAGATTTCGGCAGACTGGCAAGTTGTCGCCTAGGTTCATCGGACCATTTAAGATTTTGGAGTGCGTCGGTGAAGTTGCTTATCGTTTAGCATTGCCGCCAGACCTAGATAGGGTTCACGACGTCTTTCATGTCTCTATGTTGAGGAAGTACGAGCCGGACCCATCGCATGTTCTGCGGTGGACTGATGTGGTTGTTGATGAGGACGTGACCTACGAGGAAGGTCCGGTCCAGATTCTTGATTCACGGGAGCAGGTCTTGCGGACCAAGACCATTCCATTGGTTAAGGTCTTGTGGAGACATCACGGTGTTGAGGAGGCTACCTGGGAGCTCGAACAGGAGGTTTACTCACGGTATCCCCATTTGTTCTCCTTTTCAGGTACGACTCGATTTCGGGGACGAAATCCTTTTAAGGAGGGTAGGTTGTAATGACCCGACCTTTTTCCTCCTTTTACATTTTTGGCGATTTTCTTTTTTCGTCTTTTTCCCGTTTCTTTCGTTTTTCCATGCATAACCTCATTTTTTGTGCTCGGATTTGATTCCGGTTTTACATACATCCATGATATTTAAATTCCATGACATCTATATTTTTACTTTTGTAGAAATGCATATTAAATGCTTACTTTCTTTGTAAAACCATGAAAACAAGACTTTTTGTAATTATCCATAATTTGAGGGGTTTTTGGGTAATTAAGTAAAGTAATTATTTTTCGTCTTTGGGATCATTTTGTAATTTAATTTGGAAGATATTTTCAAAAAGGAATTGTTTACAATTTTCAGAAAGTGTGACAAGTGTCACACTCTCATTGGTCCACTTGTTGACATTTGTGTGGAAACACTTTGATGCCTTGGATGATGACATGTGGAGGGTGGAGATTCACCCACTTGTTGGCCTAGGATTGGTACACTTGTTGGCATGGATGGTTGACAAATGTAGGTTCAATATTAAGTCTTGGAATTTTACATAGGATGGTGACAAGTGTAGGCTTGAGATTAAGCCTAGGATGAACCATAGATTCATGACGAGTGTAGGTTCACCATTTAGTCTTGCATTGTGTGTGTGAGAGAGGTAGTGTAAGAGCATATAGTGAGTGGAGGATTTTTAGTCCTTCCACTCACCATTTTACACTTTATCATTTTCATTTTCACTTGTCTTCAAGAACCATAACCTAGCCACCATTGAAGAAAAGCTTAGTTAATAGCTTTTTTCTTCATTTTGGCCTCCTTCCACTCACCTTAAACATAAAACCTTGGAAGACAAAAGCTTCCTCTCACTCCCCTCTTCATTAACCCTAAACTTGTTTTCCATTTTGAGCTTGGTTGCTTGGATTATAGAGATTCAATTCTCTATTGAGGTAGGGAGTGTTATCATTTATCTTCTAAGTGATTTTATTTGTTCCTATAGTGATATCTAAGTTATATGTTTGTCTTGTATTAAAATGAGAAATAAATGATTAATTGTGACTTGTATGTAATTCACTTTAGACTTGATAAATAACATGACCATGGCTTGATTCATAACTTATGTTAATTTGAGGTCATTTAGAGTTGTTTTAAAATCTAGAGGGATTAATGAATTAATTTAATTAATTTTTATTTATATGCTCCCATGACTTAAATTAAGTTTTGAAGTGATTTATATAATAACCATGACATGTACTATAACATATATTAAATTGAGCATGTTTGGATGAGAAGTGAAATCTAGGAAATTTAGTTATTTTATTTAATTGTTTAAATTATGATTTTAAACGTATATCATACTTGTGAGGCTATGTTCTTGTTGTTGAATGATATTGTTGTAATTAGTGGCAAATTGCATAATGATCATTCAATATTCTTCATGCCATTTTAGTTAAGAACTTAGGGCATATATTGTGTTTCCAAAATTGATTTGTGCATGTTGATGGCTTTACATTGTATATATATATATGCTATGTTGATACATATATGTAATGTGCACAAAATGTTGATTTTGAAAACTTGGGGATGTCATTGTTATGACTATGGCTAGGGCATGGTTCTAGTACGGGGGAAAATCCCTTTATAAGTCTAGTGCGCACATAGGGAGGTTACCTTGGGCTAGTAACCCTAAAGTAACCACATTGTCGGTTTGATCCGGCGTGACGTCCAAGTATCCACTTTGGTTTGATTTTGCATTTAAATTCCAAGTTGTTAACTTTGTAAAATTACATCTCATTGTGTTATGTTGAACGTTCTATTGTCACTTGATAGCATGAATTAAATGGTATTGGATTGTAACTTGGTACAAAGATAAACCCATGCATTCCCTACGAGTAAACTTGTTTACTCACCCTTAAGTTAATGGGTGTTTTGCAGGTAAAAAAGCCTTAGTGTTGGATGCACAGCATTCTTAGACTCACTAGAGTTCTTGAAGTATTTTTGATGATATAGAATATGCATATGTTAGCATATCTTGTCTTACTTTTGCTTACTTTAATAAAACTTGTACTTATTTTCTAAGTTATGTAATGTGCACTTAAGTGCACCTTTTGACACTCTTAGAATGTGGTTGTAATGAGGCTAAGGGCCAAAGACACTTATGTGAAATATATGCTAACTTTGAACTTCATTGTCGCCTATGGAA